TTTCCATCATTCAATAGAATTATCAAAATTCAACCATTAGAAGTGACCGTGGCAGATTTTGTTTGGAAGTGAAAGCAGTCAGAATGAATAAATGAGGTAAATCCTGATGCAGCTGAGGAGGCGTGTGGAGGAGGAGGAAGACTTTTGAAAGGACAAAATGACAGTTAAAGAATTCCCAGCTGACACAAAGCACAAATCTCTCCCCCAAAACAATGGAGACGTGATTAAGAAAACGACGGCTCATGCACTGGAGAGAGGTGAAACGCTGGAGGGAAAAGTCAGCCAATCAGCGATCAATAAGAATGAGGAAACAAAGGGCCCTTTCTGACAAATGTGAGCAACGCTGATGTAATAACAACATGTTGTTTAATGCATTGCTTCCAGCAGCAAATATTAATCTTCAACTGCGCTCTAAACTGTTGATCTCGGAAAACAAATTATTCACAATGTTCGCTTTTTCCTCATTTCTGACACTGAGCTTTTTCCCCTGTTTGTTTACACAACAGTGTTAGAAGCCTGACATCTTGTGAGGTTACAGATTTTGGTGGAGAGGTGATAATAAACTGATTGCAGTCCCAGAATGATCTATGATCTTCGCTGTGAGTGAACAACACACATGAACAAATGGCTGAATACGAGCGAAGGTGCAGACTGCCAGCTGCCCTTGCTTCATTGTGCTATGCCTGCATTACTGAGCAGGAAGAGCTGCTGGTCAGCAGATGTCAACATTGATGTCATTCGACCGGTGCTGCCCAGTGCTGGCCGAGGCATCGCAGAGTATCGATGATGGCAAAATGGCAAGATTTTGACATATGTGAATGCCAAACTAATTGAAAAAATTAATCTGCAGTTGGGTTATTATTGTATCCACACTTATTGATTATTCATTAAGTTACCAACATCATGCAGATAACTGAATTCAACAACATGTTTTGTTTTGCAGTGATTTTCTTAAACTTCATTTATAAGAAACACTGTTAGGCTTCCTCCAGATTGATCTTACTGTAGGAATGCTCTCTCTGCTTACATCAACCAAAACATTAAGCAAGTTTGAGCTTTAAGGAGGGGGTGAAAGAGCACCGCTGTTAAAGAAGCAGGTGCACTGGATTTATAATGAGAAAACACTGACAGCCCTCTAGTGAAAAATTAATGCAAAGAGTATCGCATTATTTTGTTTTTTGACTCGAGCCTCCTTCTGTCGAGCCTCTTCTGCAGCACCATGAAGAGTATTCGTCTAAGGACCACGGAGAGCTCCTGTTACACAGCACTGGGTGGGACCACACTGAAACAATCACAAAAGAGTCAATCTTTGTTCGCGTTCCTGGACACAAAATGTCACGTGTTTTTCTTGATAGTCGACAGGGATTTGTGTGTAATGTGTTTTTAGCAAAAAGTCTGGCATATTTTCTTTCTGCAGCTTGTCCGGATAAATTCGGGGGCTGTGTCACCATGTCAACCAAGAAATCTGAGCTTTCAAACCATGACATTTCTAAACACTAACCCGTTAGTGTTTTAATCCATAAACCTAACCTAATTTTTTAATAATCACAGCAGCCTATTTTAAGTTAATAACATATTAAAAAATAATCAATGCAGACTCATATTTTTTAATTTACTAATTTCAGTTTTGTGGCAGATGCATTAAGCCAGAAAGAAATATCCTTCACCAGAAGAATTTCAGGACTTCTGCTTGGGAAGAAAGTCAAAACTTCCAAAGATTTAAAACTTTCTGCTATAAGTAAATTCATTTCATTGGAATAAAATTAATTAACATTTTTGTGCATTGTTGGTTTTAATCTCACACAAGCTGCTGCGCAACAAGTTTCCCTACTTGGGAAAAGTGAAGTCAAGTCAGGTTCTACATGATTTTTGAGTCCTTGAACACATTTTCTTCAGCAGTCCGCCCTCATATCTACAGAATGCACATTTTCCACTTGCATAGGAAAAAAGAATCTGCATTTGCAGGTTTGGTGGGTTGGTGATGGAGTGAATCGCTTTGACGCTCATGCCAGAGACAAAAGTTGACTTTTTTTGATAGCTTATTAATTAAAAGGATTTCCTTTGGTTTCGGGACATAAAACAGAGCTTTACAATGTACAAAAAGGACCACTTCAGATATTTTCAATTATAGAATAATATCTAAATTATACCAACAATGAGGAGAACAGGAACTACAACACTATATGTTAAACAGAAATGGGAAAAGTAACGTGTGAGTATTTCTGAGGATGAACGGTTGCAAATACGGAGACACAACAATCCACTACATCATCACATACTTCAAGAGAACGCGGTTTTCAAGAATTCAGTACAATTTTTTGAAATTTTGGTGATTGCCAAAATACTGGGCTTTCATATACCAAGGTACCATATTTAGGTAATATGGAAGGAAATATTGTGTCAGTAGAAGAGAAGACAGACAGCTGTTTAAAATCTTGTTAGTAGCCTGTAAGAAAGCCATCACAAAGCGATGCCACAAACCAGATCCACCAAGGCAAGATGAATGGCTGAAAATAGTGAGTGAAATATTTGTTTTGGAGCGACTGACTCTGATGAGTCTGATAAGATGGAGACTGAGAGAAATGGAAGAGCTGGACCAAATTCAAGTATCAGTGACACAGTGAGGGATGAAAAACTACACGGTCAGGTTTAGGAAAAGATAAAGGTTTGGCTTATAACATGGTTATAAAGTGGTTATCAGGTCTTATAAAGCAAAAATTACTTACACATTCATGCTCAATGATAAAAAAATGGGTTATTTTATCACCACTTCATGCTTTGCTACAAGTCTGTACTAAAACAATTCAAATGAAGTCATGTGTAGATCTCGAAATGCAGTCTTTGCACTCCTACAACTTCCAAATGAGAAGTTTTTCTGTGTGTCAGAGTAAACTCACAAACAATGACTCTACTGTACGTTTTGCTTAACCTTACCCACACTCAGGTAAGCTGTTAAGTCTGTAGGCATATTTCCATTTAATCTGTTAGCAAATTAGGAGCTTGGGGCACGCCTACCTTCTTCTGTGGAATCTTGATAGAGGAGCCAATGAAATTACCTCCATATTATACCAGCAAAGAGACAGAGAGTTCCTTTAAGAGCATTAATGGTTAATGTTAAATAGACTGGTTTTTATATAAAGCTTTTCTACTCTACTTAAACACTGAAAGCGCTTTCTGCAAAATGTCTCATTCCCCCATTCACACCCAAGTGCTAGCATTTACGCACAGCAATCTAAGGACCACGGACAGCTCCTGGGAGACGGCACTGAATGGCAACGAGTCTTCTAAGCTAGTCAGAAAAACACGTATCTAATCAGATCTGGGGGAAGAAAGCATCACTGAATAATGATGTGCAAATGAGTCCACACACACCCTGGAATCACAGTAAGAGGCTGTTCTTCTGTTCTTTTAGCTGTTGCTCACGACGCATGCAGGAAATTCACACACTAGAGATGATAAGGGTGTATTGTAGAGCAGAAATGCAGTGTAGGTGGGCTGTAGCGTAGTTAACTTAAAGAGTGATGTGAGTATTGCACGTTTCCATCTTGTTTTGTATGAATAGACAACACTTTGAGTCACAAAAACAACAACAACAACAACAACAACAACAACAACAACAACAACAACAACGGAAAATAAAGATTATTGAACCGATTTGAGCTTAAAGCCGAGGCACCCCACAGTGAATGTGTAGTCAGATATCAGAGTGTGTTCAGGTGGATCTGGATGTGGTGGTGGTGGTGGTGGTGGTCAGGGAGTGACTGATTGAGTCTGCTTCTGCTGACAGACTGATTACGCTCTGAAGTGAACAGGGAGGAGTAATGCACCAGAACACCACGGAAAGAGAGGGAGAGAGAGGAGAGGGAAGGGTGTGCCAGACCATCCTTCATCCACCGCCCCCACCTCTCTCCTGCATCACGGAGGAGGGCTATCCCAGCTTCCCCCATCCTCCCAGCATCGTGATCTCCCCTCTGCAGTATCTCCTTGTGCTTCTGTGGGCTTGGCCATAACACACAACACTTATGCCCAAAGTCCACCCAGGCCAGACTATTTCACTTTTAGCTACTCATACGACACTTATATGATGAGATAGATAAATGTTACATTATGTGGTTTAGGAATATTATAAGGTGTTAGTTAAACCCGACAAAAAGCTGACATTTTTGACCATTATCTTCTCTTTAATGAACAATAATGGCACATATGAAGTAGCGATTATTGGGTTTACACATCTTACCTGGCATGAATCGGATTAAGGTTGAATGCCAGTAAAAACATGCTGAGAGTGTCCACTTTTAGACCCTGAAAGCTGGCAAGTGGTCCAAACATAGACTATTAATGTGCATCCACTCCCCTCTGGGTTCTCTGCAGAACAATATAGTTGTGCAATTACTAATTTATTACTCCGAGTGGAGTGGGGGAGAAAAACAGGCAGCACAGAGTCACGCAGAAAGTCCCTGTTTGAGAGGAAAACTTACTGAGAAAGGCTTTAATTTTCCAGCAGGAGCCATTACTACTGATGTGAGTGATATTTGGTGAGGGTAACAGCAGCTCGCTCAGATATGGCTCCCACACAGATTTACTGCAACTGTGGCTGTGCATTGTAAATATGAAACGAGAATGTAAAAGACTAAGCACCTTTGAAACAGTGGATATGCTGCAAGCCCTGAAATGCACAGGCAAGACCTGTAAAGCCCGGAAGAGCGGCTCTCCCGTCCAAGATGCACAATATATAGCGCTCTTTTTGCGCAAAGTAAAAGCTGCTTTCACACCGGTGCAATACGAGTTCACTCCCACCCCCCATCCTCACCTCTCGTTATCGGCTCGGCAGCCCTGCACACAGAGGCCGTGTAAATCATACGACAAGTAAGTAACAGGATATCGAATCTACCGAGATTTAACTCGCTGATCGCCGACTCTCCATCTCCGGCAGCCCTTCACACAGCACCTGCCTGCCAAGGGGGAGAGCAGCCTGAAGCGGCTTAAAACAGCACCCTCACCTGAACCGAGGCCTCTCCCGTGGCAACGTGGGTCTCTCTCGGGTCCTCCTCCGCAGGGGGGGAGCGGGCGAGGGAGGAGGGGGATCCAGCCGGTCCGGCTCTCGCTCTCCGGGGCTAGGGGGGGTGGGGGCTGCTGGGATTCCTCTCCACGCGCTCCCTGGTCCGCCGACGGAGCTCCTCTCTCCTCCTCTCCTCTCCTTACCCAAGCAGCGTCAAGCTGCGGATGGAAAACGAGAAGTTCCGCTCTCTTGATTTCAAAATAAAAAAAAAAAAATGTACACACATGACCTGTAACATAGCCAGCGAAGCAGCACGGGGCGCCATAAAACAACCCCCAGCCCCTAATTAAGATGACCAGGAGCTCAACGTTTACTTCTAAAAAATGAATTACAAAATAAAAATATGTAATTTTTCGCACATTATATTGTGTATTATATTGTGTTTGATTTAAATAAAAGGACACTTAGTCTTTAGTCTCTTGTCCTTTAGTCTTTCTTTCACCAAAGCAAATTTTGCCCATAAATCGCTAGCAAGTGCATGCTAATTGGTACATTGTGCCATTTCCAAGCCATAACTCGACTCAAAGAGCAGTTAAACCATAACATTAACTACTAACTGAGTAGAAGCTGATTACTGTGGTCGAAGGCGACTGTTATCAAGATGGTAAAAAAAACCCTGGACAGGTGCCAGCTTCATGCCTGAAATCAAAATGGCAGATACTGTGACGTCCATAGAGACAGGTATTTTTACTTCCCTATTCGTCGGCTTAGTTATTGATATTTTAACTTTGAATTATTGTCTGTATATATTGCGCTTATATGATCTTTTAAAATGTTTATCTTGAACTGACAACTTTGGTTACACTCCGTACTCACTTCTGTAAAACACCAAATTTTAAGCGGAATTTCCTTTTCTACCTCGTTTTCCACATTTAGCCGACTTTTACTCGGGAAGAAGTAGCACCTGATTTGTTAGTTCTACCACTAATTATAAAGAGGGTTTGTTAACACCGCGCTTCAGTGAGTTTTATTTTGAAGGTACAAATGGGAAATTGTGTATCTCCTTTGCTTCCACGTAACGGGAATCCTCAATATTGGGCTGTGCACAGTGCGCATGCGCTCAGTTAACGGGCCTGCTGTAATCCCCTTTGTCACAAATAACAAGAGGACGCAATCTGCTGTAATTAAGGAAACCTATCCGCCCAATTACAGATTTCCACTTATGTAACAGTTAAGGTCATTAAAACAAAAATAAACACAGCTAGGTTTATTTGATATTTCTCTTTACAAATTAAAACACAAGATTTGTGCTTTGCAAAGTGCAATAAAATAATACCGTGCATTTCTTAAATGAACGGGACCGACTGCAACTGCGCATTTACTGCCCAAAAATGAGTCGTTTCATCAAAAAAGCAACAAATTCACGCAGTAAGCCCTCAATTTCAAATGTAAAGCAAACGTATTGGAAATTTAATATAACAATTACCAATTATTAAAAAGCAGACGATGATGAGATATTAATAGTCTTCACGAACTCTGCCATTGCTCATTTAATTTCCTAACCTTTAATTTCCTGACTGATTTTTGAAAAACAGAAAAATAGTGATACGTGACCCAGAGTCAAAGGTGACATCATTGTGCATCATTTGTGTTTTAAAACCAAATCTTAAAAATTATAAGTAATAACTATTTAAAAATAAAACGGAACCGCCTCACGTTTTGGAGCTTTTTGCATGACAAAAGCATCACTGGATTTAAAAACAAAAACAAAAAAAACAACTTAAAACATTTCGCTCTTGATGAATTAACATATGAGCAAAAACGTTGGAGCTTAATAGTTGTTTTATTTTTCCTTAAGTTTTTCTGAGAGTACAGTACTTAGTTACATTAAGCCCGTGCAAGCTTACCTTACCAGTGAGAAACTGAGGTGAATTATACCTCCACAAGTGCGTGTAAAGGAGGTTTTTTTTAAGGTGATGGATTTTCATATGCACACTCACTGCTGTGAAGAATCCAGATTTTTTGCTGAGGCTCTGGCACCATCTGCTGTTCAGTGACCACCTTTATAATGCTGCTGGGAATATCATTTATCTACAGGTGAACAAACTGCCTTTAATGTGAGCCTCAGATTTAATGATGGGAAGAAAAAACAACACAATTTTGTTAAACAAAATCTAATTTTCATTTAAATTTCAGTGCTCAAAATATCTCCATGTTTAATGAAAAGAAAAGTTCATGGTCCCCAGAGGATGAGTGCCACTTATTTTAAGAGAGCCAACTGGCCTTTCCTCCAGCATCACCAGTTGGTCAAAGTTTTCACTGATCCAGTGAAGTACACTATATGGACAAAAGCACTGGGCCACCCACATAGGAGCTTCTTGGCCATGGAAACACATACCATGAAGCTCCCATTGCACCGTTTTTGTGCTGATGTTAATGATAGGAGGGAGTCTGGAGCTCTGCAGACGCATTGGCGACTGTTAGGCACTATGCACCTTAGCACTGGTGACTCTGCTCTCCAACTATGTGGCTGGAGACTAGTTGCTGTTGCTTCTACTTTGCAATAAGGCTACTTAAATACTGTAATATCTCAGAGGGAGGACTTGTTGCAATGATTGCATCCTATTACAGCACCACACTCAAATTCTATGAGCTCTTTAGAACAACCTGTTCATTCATAAATGTTTGTAAAGGGAGACTGCATGGCAAGGTGCACCTGCAGCAATTCAAAGAGATAAATACTTTTGTCTATATAGTGTATGTTAAAATCAGCGTGATGTATAGGCACAAAAACCTGAGACAGCTGTTGTCCCAAGAGAATCTATGCCAGAATTATTAGTGGTTTCTGATTGGCCCTGGACTACAAGAGGGTACTTTTACAACACAACTGATATAATTATTACTAAAGTTCATAAAGATGATGTATTTTGGTCGCTTAATAACTTTTCACCTTGCATCAGTATTTACTGTTGGTTTTGGACCACGATCCTGCAAATTAATAATAATAATAAAAAGAACATTTTAGATGAGCTCGAAGTTGTACTCATTACACCAGCACTTAGCTGTAACATGTTAGATTTACTCACTATTAAATTAACTACCGTACCAGAGTGTTATCCGATAGGGTAACCTTGCGTGTTTATTAACACAAGAAACTGCAACAGCCCTCATGGCCTATAAATGGAGGCTAAAGGAAGCCTTTCATGATTAATGGTTCAAAATGAGTTTTACTTGGTTCATGCTTGACCCACCCATCAGTTCCACTCTGTCTGACACAGGGGGTGGGTGGGATTTTTGTGCTCACATCCAGAGCCGTATACCTGAGATGATCATACTATGGGTGTTTAAAGGAGTCTGAATCTTGAGCTTTCAGCTCACAGGGATTACTTGTACGTGGCTAAAAATCGAAAAGGAGTACATGTACGACTGAAAACCGGTGGTGACGAGTGAGGAGAGAATCTGACGGAGAAACCGAGGAGCACGGCACGGCGACTGGCTCATCGTCCTTCTTTGCGATGCTTCCAATGAGCACATTTTTAAACAGTGGGCTTCTTGTTTTATTCCAAACTAGCAACTGATCCCAGGAAAGTCTGGGTACCTCTGGGCTAAAGTAAACTTGCTGTAGTGCCAAATTATAAGAGACACTTTGTGTGAAAACAAAACAACTGGCAGTCTATTATAAACCTACACTGCATTCTCCACAGTCTCTTCCTGCTTGGTTACAAGGTGTAGCTTTGGGAAAAATGATTGATAGCCTCTTGGCACAGAATGGAGGTTTCTAGCATAACTTCATCTACTTCCAAGGTTCGTCTAGAAGAACCAAGGGTCTGAAGAGGTCGAGGCTCTAGCAACACTTGCAGTATAAACAGCAACTTTATTACTTGACTAACGCGTTTTGGCCTGTGGTGCTGATCAAGTAATAAAGCTGTTTTTTTATCCTAGTTTAGAGTTGCTGGAGCTTCAACCTCTTTAAAGCTTCTATGAACAACATATTTGAGTGAAGGAAGCGTACGCCGCTCTTGGCTCTGCCTGGAAACCGGCTTGTAAATGACTCCAAATATACCTCAATTGAGGGCAATTAAGAGGATTGTTAGGGCTTCCTTTTAAAAACAAGAAATCACCTAAACTGTTCATGTGATGAAAGACAAGCCTACATGTTGTTTTATAATAAGGTGCTGTTTATTTCATCATTTCATTATTCACATCTCACAGTACACTTTCTTATAGCTTTGAATTGTAGTTTTTAACCATGTGTAATACTGACCTCAGCCTCCTCTCCCAGGCTTCCTGGCGTCACTCCGGCACCCCCACCTCTGTTCCTGGGTACATTTGGTCGCAGGGACTCGGATTCTAACTTTTTACCCAGGGCCAGAGGCTTGAGGGAGTCTGGAGCTGGCTTTAGATTGTTGTCTGGTTCAGTCCTGCAAACTGTGAAGTGCTTATCTTGTTTTGTTTATTTATTCACACAAAGTCCAGATTAAGTGTTTGATCACTTTAACTGCAGAGAGCCGCCACCATAAACAGGTTATAGCAGCCTTTGAGGGACGCGGGCGGCACTTTATTCAACGTTCAGATGATGTGGATTTGGCATGGATTAAAAGTGGACTGCAGGTATTTTGAGTTCCTCGGCCGTTTCCTGTCAGCATGCCTTCAGAAGTGTGCAAGCACTGAGCAGGAGTGTTATAGTGGCTGCCCCGATGATGCTCCACTGCATCACAAGCAGACCATTAAAGATTAACAGCCTCATCTGGACGGCAGAGGAACCCCGCCGTAACTAAAAATACTTATGATCACTTGGTGCAGACTCCCACTGCAACTGGTCTTTGTTTTTGTTTTTTTTTATGTCTGTACAACTTTAAGGCAGGAAGTTGAATTTTTTTTAAATAGGACTCAGTCTTAAAATTCATGCCTCCCTGCACAGGATTTTTTGTTTTTTTAAATAAAGGACGGGGAGCCTGGAAGTATTCTAGTGTCCATCAGGCCTGATCCACTGAAACCAAAGTCAGAACAAGTCGTCCTAATGTGCTCTGCTATGCCATGTAGATGAAGGTGTTTATATCCGTCTCATCCCGCTTTATGTACTTATGGTCTATCAGCCACTCAATCTGCTCCTTGATCATCTTCTTCTGTGGTAAAAACATGTTCTTTAGGATTTCCACCAGCTCCGTCTGCAGCTGAGCGTTGTTGATGCGCTTCCTCATCTTCATTATTTGGATGATGGCCTCCTGGGCGTGAGAAATGGAAAAGAAGAGGGTGGAAAAATAACAAAAGCAGGTCAAGAAACTGCACTGTGAGGCTCTTTATTCACAGTAGGTGGAGTTCAAAACAAATGAAGATGCACCAGCCTCTCCACCTGCATGCTGTGAGCTCATTTCTGTACCTGTGTTCTTAGTATCCTGAGCTGGACGATGCCCTCGTTCTCCTCCTCTCTCATTCGCTCCGTGGTGAGCTGCAGCCGACCGATCAGGTTGATCTTCCCCCTTTTCTGAACCTTGGAATTTTTTCTGTAAAGTTGAATTTGAAAAATAAATGCCCTGGGTCAGCGTATGGACCTGTGGTCTCTACTAAGATATCTGGTCTGCAGTGTGACCATTTAATCACCAACTATTAACACCATCATCACTGGTCTGTTCGCACTAACAGCAGTGACGCAGAGAGGCCCAGTAGAAGCTGCTGCACCTCTGCACACCGCCATGTTGTCTAACCCTGCTTACCTAAGTTATTATTTATTTAATAGGTTTTTATTTATAATAATATTATTTGTATTACATTTGCATATATTTTTGTATTTCTTATTATTACTAGTTTCAAATCACAAAAATGTTATTAGACAAAGATAACATGAGTAAATACAAAACCTCTTTTTTCTCGTTTATATAATGCATTCTCATTTATCACTGCAACAATTTCTTGCGTTCGTAGAAAAACTTCATAAAAATTAAGGGAGCCTCAAGATTTTTTGCATAGGGCTGCACATTTAAAGCACATCTAAGATCCTGTTCTTAAAAACAAAAGTTTTTTCAAATTAAAAAGAGAATGAAGTGATTTTGAATCTGAAATGTTCCTATTTTTGGAATATCATAATTTCATTCAATAACCTCTCAGCATCTCTCGTGTCCCTCAAGTACGTCTGATGCTATAAATGTGGTAAAAGCTGAAACACATGCACAGAGCTAAACTTCCAAACACTCAAAAGTTATGTAATGGATTTTATGAGTAATTTGGAAACAACAGAGTGTGTGCAAAATTATATTTCTTCCTCACTAAGACCAGACTGTGCATTAAAACTTCACAGAAAGCACTAAAGAGGCAAAGTTGTGAAGAAGAAGAAGAAGAAGAAGAAGAAGAAGAAGAAGAAGAAGAAGATGAAGAGAGGAACAGGGTGAACGTGATCACTTACATGAGAGAAAATTCCTGGTTGACATAGAATAACGTTCCTTCTGCAAAGTCTTTTGGCGAAGACACTGCCGGGTCATAGAGCAACACCTGCCTCTTGAGTTTGGGAAACGCTACCAGAGACTGGGCGAACAGAGAGGTTTAAGGAGGGAAACAGAAAATTTTGTATTAATCAAACAAAAGAACAAACTTGTTTGTCTAAGACGTGATAGAGACAGTCATCTACAGTTCACAGGCACTTTTGTCCTCGTTGTTTACCCAGAGAGTGCGTCGCAGCTCTGCATCAGGCAGCTCAGTGGCTAATTTGAGGTTTTCGAAGCTGATCCGCTCCCTCGGTCGCTGGTTCCAGGCAAACAGCACCGCCAGCTGGAATGTGGTCACCTCCAGGTCATACTGGCCCACCTCGTTCTTAAACGTTATCTGGAGAAGTGAAGTACATTTTATTTAGTTTGATTACTAAGTTCAAACACTAAATAAATAATAGATCGCAGGAGGAGTACATGTGCACGGTCGAAGCTCTCCTTTGTAAAACGTTTGAAGGAGTTGCCTGGAAAATGTTCAATACAGAATTAATATGCTAATGTGGTCACCTCAGACACACACATGCTTTTCTAACCTTGGGCAAATAATCAGAAGGATGCTGGTTTGAAGGGACAGGAGCTGACTAGCTTATTTCAGACAGTGGAGAAGTTGCTGAGCTCAGTATTAGATAAAAAAGGATTATTGTAATCTGTGAAATATGCAAAGCTGCACTAGTGAAAGTTTTCCAGTAAACTGCTTTGGCCATTACAGTAACTGGAATGGTGCAATTTCACAGTTAAGCTGCTTTTGTGAGTTCCTGTGCAGTCACGTTAGACTCACGATGCCGTTGGACATGAGGTGATGCCAGTGAAGCTTCCTGCCACTGTGGTTCTTCTTATAGAAGTCTTCTACCTCAGGTATCAAATCCTCCAGCTCCGTAGGGAGAGACACAAAAACCTTCTCGCTGCTCCTCGACCACGCTCCAGCATTCAGGATCTTTATGTTGACCGAGTCAGCTGCAAGGGAGCGCACCAACATGAGAAAGTTTACAGTTATAGCACATCCCAGTCAAAAGTACACATTACTGCACCTTGCTGGCTAAAACCAGCTACTAGTTAGCTTAGCATAAAGAAAGTCTTTAGGCTTTTGTGTTATCTAATGTTAAAACAGTATTTGATGTAGGTCTGTTCGATATAACGATATATATCAGATGACGATATAAAAACGTCTATCGTTTCATTTTACGCTATCGTTTGTTTCG